TTATGCCTTAAGATATTTTTGTATTTTATACTGTTTTGCTAATATGTTTTTTAAATAATGTATTATTATCATTATTGTTACTATTGTTATTGTATATAACAAATTGAATGCAAATTTTCATTAAATGCAAACAGAATTCACTTATATGCACGCATCTTCATATTTCTGTTGATTTCCCCTTTCATACATATTAAACAACATTTGCAAGAGCACTTGTAGCCCATTTCTACCACTTATTTTTTTTCTTTCTTTCTTACTCTAGATTTTTGAATGAACTTTTCTTCACCATCATCTTTTGCCATTTTGCCTTTCATTCATTTTTTCTTTCTTCTTTCCTTCTTTCTTCTTCTCATTATTTGCATGTCATCTCTTCCCCAATCCCAACACCCCACAATTGCAACCACTATTATTATTATTATTATTATTATTATTATTATTATTTAGAGTAGTTTTTTAAGCCAATTATTTGTAGTTTCACTTTTTCTAACTTAGTGATTTCACACCAAAAATCATGGAGGCAAAAATAAATCCTTCTTGGCTGACTTTTCTGCCTTCTTCATATTCATTTCTTCTTTTCCCTTTCCTTGACCCCCACCCACCCTAAAAACGCCCTAATATCTCATTTTTTTCTGTTTTTTTCTTCTCTTTATCCTTCCACACTGTTTATGTTGCCTGATATTTTAGATGTTTATTTCATCTCTATTCCCTTCATTATTTTATGTTGCTTGTTATTCTTACCAGCAATGCATTGTCAACTACAAATGAGCCAGTGTCCAAACCAATGACAAGTAACCACCAAGCCATTCGAAATCACTTCATAAAGTAGAAACTAAATAAAATCAAACAGAAGTCATTTCTTTCAGACTTGATAGTTTCAGAAACGAATATCTGCACATGTATAGAATATCAGTTTAGTTTCATCCTGTGGATCATAGGGCTACAGTCTCACCACACAAGGCACTGCTTTTTACAAGTTCTATATTATATTACAAGTTCAGTGTGTAAGCAATGGAGAGTATTCTGACCACACAATCCATGATCCTCCTTATTATTTTATATAAACCAATGACATATATTTATCTAACAATAGCATTAATTTATAGTTTAGTTTACCCAAATTATTTCAGTTTTAGTTATTTTTATAGGGTGAAGTTGTTAGAGTTCAGTTCTGAGTTCAAAATTCTTCTTGGCTGCCAACCAAGGCTTGAAAACCCAGTCTGCCCTATGATTAACTCCCAGCTGCGATAAGAGATAGATTCATAACTTTCAAACAATATTTGTGCAAAAGTGACTGCAATGGTCTCAACTTGAATTAGAACTCAGCATACCAATCCCACTTTATGCACTGATAACCATTTTGGCATGTGCACATAATCATAGAATATTAGTGCCCACTGTATTAAAGCAGTTTTGGGTGATGACCAATTTCCTACTGGACTTTGTCTAATATCAGCTATACTTTAATCTATGATATCTGACCTTTGCACTTTATTGATGCTTCTATAAATTATTCCATTTAAGTCTGAATGTGAAGAATTGTTTTCAAAAATTGTTCTTTAACTGACTGTCATTCTCATATGACAGACTTTCTTGAAGGTTAATCTCTTTTGAATCTGGGTGCTAAGACATTTTGTACTTAGCATCTATGGATTGGTACCAAATTCAGTTGCGATGCAATAAATAATTGCACAGTTCATTGTCTTTAAATCACTTTCTATCAATAATTTATCATATGCTTATAAATTTATAGTTTTATTTTTGGATATTCTAAGAACTTACACATACATTGGCTGAAACAGTTTGGCTGCCAAATAATATCCTCATCAGCTTTTTAATATCTTTCTGATGATCAGTTTTTTTAATCTTAAAACCAAATGCCTTATAAAGGTTTACTGTCATAATCAAAAAGAAAGTATAAAAATTATTTTAAATGACTAAAACTTTGTAATAAATCTCAAGAATGCAAAACATGAACCTTTTTCATAAAATTGGGTTGGCCAAAAAGTTTGTTTGGTTTATTAAGTAAATTTTCTACTTAATAAGTGATCAATATTTTTGGCCAACACTTATATAGTCAAGGAGCTAGGAATGAAATCTGATAAATGAATAATGCTTTGATAATTAATATTTATTAATGAGAGATTTATCTGACTAAATCACATTAGGTAGAAAGCAAATGAACATCAAATACTCTAAGTGTTCCATGAGCTTTATGCTCTGTTCATTACACTCTCAGATAAATCTGAATGAAGATCCTATTTTTAGAGTAATCATTGAAGATAAAGTTCAAATAGCTCATTAATTGTTGCATTCTCAAAAAGCATTCTGTAATCTAATCTTAAGGGATAATATGTTTTAATTATACTATACAAGTTACTAATGATCAAATTTAAATAAGAAATAAATCTTTTAGTTTTACTAAAACACTGAGTACATTCCTACTAAGGATAATTTGAATTCACCTTTTCAAGTCAAAATAATTATTCAGCTTTAGGCAAGATAACCGAAAGAAAATTATGATTTTCACTGCACCTTTCAAAAATGTATTTCTATTTATAAATCAATGCCTATAAATGAAATGAAAACAAACACAGAATGGTGTATGAATTTGGTTGCTCTCATCATTGGACACTGGCTCAACGAATATTCCTTCTTTTGTGTGTTTTACTGTGGTTCAAGACAGAAGTTCTAAAACATATTTAATGATTATTGAAAGTTTAGAATTTAAATTCTAGAATGAATAGTTTGTCTAAGAAACTTTAGAATGAGATGATGGGTGTATGAACATGAGACAGAACACAAAAAAGGAATAATTTCATCAAAGTTAAAGAATTCTTAAACACTGGACAACTATACAAATCTCATAGTTCTGAATTATGATCATTTAATGTTTCTGAATGTTAACTAGGAAAACACTGCACTGATTTTATTCATACTTAGTTAATTAATGATTCAACTTAAAACTACATTAGAATACAATAAATAAGAAGGTCTTATGTGGTACTATTAAAGACTAAGCAAAACCAATAAATTAATTATTTTTATGCGTGTGTGTAAAATTTTATAATCTGTTAGAGAGTTAAACAAATGAAGACAGCCAACCAAAGTGTTTTTTTTACTACTTAAAATGAAACCAGGTATAATATAAAAATAAAACAAAAAAAAAACCTTAGCATTACAGAATGAAATTTTTGTGATCTAAAGTTGTTTAATGAATTGGAATTATGTTAGCTTTGGTCTTGTTACTGAATCCAAAATTTAGATGCAGCTCCAAATCATTAGGACTTTTATATATATATATATATATATATATATATATATATATATATATATATATATATATATATATATATATATATATGTATATATATATATATATATGTATGTATATATATATATATGTATATATATATATATATATATATATATATATATATATATATAAATTCAATCTTTAGCAAAAAGTGATATTCATCAAAAAGAACAACTATATTAAAAGATTGCTCAACACAATCTTCATAAAAGAAAATGTAGAGCAAGTTATTATATATATATATATATATATATATATATATTCAGACTTAAGAGAATAATAAATAGCATATATATATATATATATATATATATATATATATATATATTTATTATTCTCTTAAGTCTTACAGGTCTTTGTTAGTGGTTTCAGTCATTTTTAGTATCCTTTTTATGTAAAATTAATGTTCCATCTAAACTTGTGTGTTATCCCCTTAGATTTTATATAATTACAATAATTTCTTTAAAAATAATTAATTAGGAAATGTGGTGTGCATTAACTATTAGTTACAGTTTAACGATGATGAAGGAACTAATTACAGATGTTATGATAATTAATTTCTAGACAAATCTGTTCATTTTGATATTTTAGAGAAAGATATTAAGAGATATTACACAAATCTAAAAGGCATCAGATGAGATGTTAACTCTTCAGATGTAATTTTCACACATTAAAGCACAATTGAAATAACAATAAAAATGTTAAAAAAAAATGTTGTTTCATGTATGCACTGTAGATTGGGTTGTTAAGAAGGAAGAATTACAGAAGTTGAGTCAACAAATTACAGTCAAATATAGAAATAGATTTTGATAATACTTATATGTTTAAAAGAAGAAATATTAATTACTTCAATTAAATAGAACAGTATTTTTGCTGTAGACATTTATATTTTAATCTAACAAAACTATCTAAACCTCTGCTTTTTTAATTTAGTAAGTTTTATCAGAATATTTTTTTGGATAATGTTGGAATAATTCATTTTTCTAAGAATCAAAATTATTTCTTTGATAATATAAAGTATTCAGACATTTTTAACAAAGACTTCATAAAAAATTAATATCCTACAAACGTTTAATAGAAAAATTAGTCCCATGACCAGGTATGGTTGTACAGTCACTGTGCACTTAAGCACTTGACCAGATCCTTCCATATGTTTCAAGTGAGTGCCAATGTCTGAGTCTCTGTGAATAACCTTCCAGCCCACTCAGTGACGTTGTCAGCCCATTTTTTTTCTCTGTCTGCCTCTTCTTCTTTTACCTAAGGTTAACTTTATAGTATGGCAGGGGAAAGATTGTTGGCACTTATGGCATGGCCATACCATTCCAACTTTCTCTTCTTTATATTACAGGCCTGTTTCTTGTTTGATTGTGTTTTGCACTGCATCATTTGTAATGCATTCTATATAGAAAATGCTTAGGATGGTTCTGTAGTATCTCATTTCTTATGTGCAGATTAAATCAAATTATAATTGGATCAGTGATACTCTTGACTAAAGTAAATATCATTGAATCTTCAATGTTTTTTTAACAGAAACATTAACTTAGTCATTGGAGATAAAATCTTTTTGTAATCAACATATATTTCTATCAACTACTTTTTGTATATACTTTCTCAGTTTTGTCAAATAAGTGTTTATGTTTTACATATATAAACATTTATTTGAAGTATGGTCGATAAAAATTCAGCTTATGGCCATATCATGTTGAAACATGGGTTCCCATTTGATCACTGAAGTTAAGCAATGTTGAGCCTGGTCAGTACCTAGCAGGGTGACTGCTTAGAAATATCAGGTGCTGTAATCTTGGATGTGTGGGTGGTGTAATAGATAATGGCTCAGAATTGTTAATCAGAGAACCATGTTCCAATTCCATTTGGGTTCGTTATATTCACTTACATGCAAATACCCTTGGGAAAGGTATGGATTCATTTTTTTCTCACCCAGCTATGGGTTAATTAGTAAGGCTTGTATCATTAATCATTTATTATCTCCCCAAAAACTTTTACAATCTAAAGATATTTTCTGGCTTTAAATAATCTGCAAGTGATTGATGGGCAGTAGAAAATGAATTAATAAAAATTCAATTAATTTATGAAAGCTTCCAATCTGGTTTAAGTAATTATTTATTGAATAACAGTTATGAAGGTAGCAATAAAAGCAAATGATCCCAAATAATTCTGAAGTATTAAAATTTAGGGATAGAGATAAACCACACCAAATGTTAATATTCTATAATTACCATCAAGGTTAATTACTATTTAAATATATGAAAAATAATAGAAAGTAAATTAAAAAAACAATTTTGTGAACTGAATTTGTAGCTTGCAATATTTTCTACCATTGTTTTTCATCACATGCTATACCCTAACCCTGCCCAAAGCCTCTTGTCTCTTGGCTCTACCCCGCTATATCAGCCACCCTCCCACTTATTGCTGGTGTTGGTGCTGGTGTTATGGCTTTAGTGTTGTTGTCCTTGCTATTGTTATGGTGTTGTGGCAGGAGTATCGGGGCATTGTAACTCATCTAAATAGAAACATTTATTGGATCAAATCATTGCATCAAAGTTATGAACTATCAAGTGAACATTACTCACTTCTGGATCAAATTTTCAACTATTGTATCAATTTTGTATTTATTATTTTACAATAATCCAAATCCAGACTATTATTTATCTGTATATATACATATACATGTATATATACCATCTATATTTCCCATGTAGGAATTAACATGTATATTTTTATATACCTATGCCCACATGTACATCAAAATATGAGTGTGGATGTATGTATGTATGTGTAGGTGTATGTGCATTCGTGTGTGCATATATCAGGCATGCATTCATCGAACAGACATTAAATTTTATGTCAGTCACATTAAGACCTTCACAAACAAACAGTGAAGTCTAATTCTGCTGGTTATGCCATCTTCTTCTCTAAAGCAATTTGACAATAGATATCTGCTATTATATTGTGCAAGCTTTGAACTCAAACTACCTTCACTGAGATTAGAATTCGGTTTTCATTTCTCAAGTATGTTTATTTTGGTATGATTATTAGTATTAATAATACTCAAAGTTTGATAAAGAAAGAAAAATACTGAAATGCATGTATATGCATCTAATGAATATATGTATAAAGAACAGGACAATCCTGAGACTATAAATTTCCCAAGACACTATGACACAGCTACAACAAACAAATTCTTAAAATACATTACCATTTCTGTTTTTAATAGTATTTTTTCTTAGTTTTGTCAGATTTTACTGATAAAAATCTTATACTAGTTTATTTAATACACAATATAAGGAACAGGAAAAGAATTAGAATTGAAGTTGTTTTGAAATTTCATATTCCTTCATAGTCATGTAGTTTTTAAAGGTGATAAAATTTTGAAAGGTGAGTGTTTGTTTTATTGCTTTTATGAGCTTCCATATTTCACATGAGAATTGATCTTATGTGCTTCCCTAATCTCACATGAGAATTAGATAAGCACAACCTGACAATATCCCAAACAGTCAAATAAACAAACTAAACTGTTACTTTCTTCCTCTTCTTCTTCAAAAAGAGTTGAAGAGTAGTAGTAACATATCACCTTTCTCTTGACTTGAAGAAAGATTTCACTTTCAGCATTGCAATGAAGTTTTGCTCTCTGCCTTGAGAGGAAATCAGGTGTTCTCTTTACTGGCCCCTCACCCTCTTGTCACGAGTAGCGGGGGCATTGGGTGTCTGTGATGGCATATCAACAATTTACTGTGGCAGATAGAGGTATGGGTTTTGCCTGACTCATATCTTTCCAGTACCAAAACTCCTCACCTTACTTGCTTAAGATAAATTTTTACCTGACCTCATTTTCAAATACATCTTTTCAAAACATTTAGCTACATTAATAGTTTACAATACAAAACTTGTGTGGAAATTGTAATAAGTGATGGAAAAAATATGAAAAAATCAAACTGCCACAAATAGATATATCTTCATTATCATTAAGGATCATGTCCTTAAGTTGATTTAAAAAAAAACATGAAATATCTCCATAAAATTTACAATATTTACAATAAATATTATTTTAAAATGACAAAACAGTCTTTAAATAGACCCTATAAGCAACCACAACACTTGAAGACATCCAAAAGTAGCAACTAAAATATATAGTATATGTAACTCAAACAGAAAATACTGACATACAAGGTATTGACTTTCCCCACTACCTTAAATAAAAGATTAGAAAGGAAACAATAGCAGGAGCAATAGCAGTGAACTTGAAAAACCCATTTTCCTGAAAAACTGTTTTTAGAAAAGATTTTATACATTTCAACCAACAGTAATTAACTATTCAGTCAATGAATGCCGAATGTTTCCTTATAAGGAAACTATTAATCTTACCATCAAAATGTAAAAAAGAGAAAGAGTCCATCTCACTTCATTTTATGTATAGAACCACAGCTTCACCATAATAAGTGATTCTTCTGTTTGACAATAAAAAAATTCAAGTAATTTTTGTTTTGTTTAGAAACTATATACACTTTCAGTAGATGATGAAATAACTTAATCTTTACATAAATCACTTCAGTATGGACAGATATTGTTACCCATACAGACTGCCCTGTGGAGTAAAGGGCCACAGTCTCACTGAGCTGCAGTTTCCATAGCAAATATGAGGTAGAGCTACCAACCCAATGCCCAACTAGTTTTGAATTCAGAGTTATCCTATTCCTAGACTGGTTGCCAGCCATAGCTGGTAGAAGAAATAGATTTATACCTTTCCCTGGGGTATTTCAGTAAAAGTGAACACAATGACCTAGGCCAGAATTTAAACTTGGCATGCCAAGCCAACATTCTGTGATGATAACAATTACACTATGAGCATGTCCATCTCAAAATATAAATCACAGTAAAAATGATCTCCATAACTGAAGTAACCAATGACTGCTTTTTGCACACATGAAATTTTATATTCAAAATACATAAAAGTAGCTGCGATCTCTGTCTGCAGCAGATGGTGCAACTTACATGACATGACAGGCTAACACATCCTCATAAGTCGCCAGACAGCTGGTGGATGAGTGTTTTTCTTGAGTCCTCATCTGTAGACTGGTTTTCAACCAAGGTTAGTGAGCCCAGTCTGCCCTGCTATTTACCCCATATCTAGGGCAAGAAGAAATGCATTTCTACCCTTTCCAAAGGTATTTGTACAAAAGTGAATATAGCAAAATCTGATGGAATTTGAACTTTTCTCACTCATTTCTATTTCAAGATGCAAACAGTTATGCTACCCACACATCCACATTCAAAATAAGAAGACAGAAATCTATACTACTCTGTTGCATTACAAGCCTCATCTTTTCTTCCCCTTGTCTTTTGAAACTGTGCTAGAGTGCATAAGGAATGCAAAGAGTAATTCAGAGAAATATTTTATGATTCAAACTTAATGATCTGTGAACTAACAAAATAAGCAGCATAAACTTTAACTCTTATGTCACAGTCTCAAATTCTTGATGTCTCACTATTTAATCCTGATTCTGGAATCAAAGAAAGAAAGATGCTCTTTACCAAATTCCTTTGAATGCCATACAAACCACTCACATGGATTTATTCTCAAAATAATAAAATAAAAGTGAAAATATCTTTCTTGTTAATGTTGGATAACAATTGTAGAGTTGCTATAAAGACAGAATCAGCTAGACTATCTGAAAACCACTTTGAAGCAGAGCACCAAAAACTGTAAACTGACTCTATACTAGATGTTTCTGTTTTATAATATTTTTGGATTATTTATTCTCTGTAGTTACATTTTCATTCGCAACACTCCATGATACAACAATTTCTAAAAGCAAGGATTCCCTCAGATTTATTTGTGTGATTCAAGAAACTACTGCAAAAGAAAATAAGCAAATAAATGTTCCATTTAAATCATCTTGTATCCTAAAAATTTAAGAATTAAAAATTTGAGTAAACAAAGAATAGAATTTCTTTACAAGACTCTGTTATGCATACATGAATTAAATATTTTCAACTTTATTTATGGTTTTTACACTGGCTGAAGGAATAACACTGATGGTCATCTTTTATGAGATCATATATAAAAAATTTAAAATTGCATTAAATTAAGTTTATTCTTAAACTCAAACTTGTTTGATTTCATTATGAATAGTTCTCTCAAAAATTATCCTTAGAAGCCACTCTTTGATTTTTTCAACACAGGCTTTGTTTGATTATTACAGCAACAGACAAAATAATAATAGCTTACCCCAGTGAATAAAATCTGATATTTGCATATTAACAGTTCAATTAAAGAAATGATAAAAAAAAGGAAATATTTTTGGTGTATCTTATACAACTGTCGATTTGTCATCATTATCATCAGTCCCATGATCAAGTATGGATCATAGCACAGCAGAGAAACTGACCAGTTCCCATCATATATCTAGGTTGAAAGCTGGAGAAGTCTTCATTCATGCATAGCATATCTTGGGCAAAGTAAACTGCACAGAGTCTATCCCTTTCCAGGTTAAACTGCAGCCAATGTCATCCAACTTGAAGGCTAACTTTGGACACAGATAGATAGCCATTGAGTCCATCCCTGCCCTGGCTGTTGACTTCAATTTAGGAAGCCCTCTGCTCAACAATGCTAGGTCATCGTTGGACTTGCTGCATACATAGTTTTGACACCCAATCTAACCCATTGTGTGAGACGATTATTAACTTTGACAGGTCTTGCTGGGTGTCTAGCCATCCTTCTCACTGGAAAAGCCTAGTGGTGGAAATGGCTTAGTCAATGATGACCCAACCATGCAACAGGT